ATCTTAGTTACTATATGTTAATAATTAGTAGAACCAATATACTCTTGCATTTAACTCCTCAAATTTTTCATTAGGGCTTAATTCGGTTTCTCCTATCTACAAACTTACAGCAATATCTCTATAGTAAAAAGCTAATAAGTAACTGCAAGACTCTTGCGATACTCTTGAACAAGATCAAGACCATCATCAGGACTGAGTTTGCAAGACCAAGACTCGTCTCAGTCTCGCATTTGGACAACACTAGAAACTATATTGTACCCCTCAATATTTTTATTAGGAGGAGGGGGATAATCCCCCTCGCTCCTCTGAAGTTTACGCCTATGCTTTTAATATAGATGTTGAAGAAATATTTGAGGTAAATAGGCTGTGATATTGTCTCTAGATCACTCATATATTACATATTACATTAAAAAAAAATTACCGATATCTTCAGGAAAATGCGCATGCTTCATAATCCATGGGCGAAGGATGGCTATGTCGTCCTGAACAGACATGATCGTTTATGAAAAAAAAAAAAAAATCGTAGAAATAACTTCAAATTTATATATATATAAGCTAATAAGGAACTGCGAGACTCTTGCGCAAGACCAAGACTCGTCTCGGTCTCGCATTTGGGCAACACTATGTAAAGCCATCACACATGCGATGAAGCACATACGATATAGCGGCAATATGTTTTATTATTTGCTAAAAAAGTTACAATGCATTTGATTATAAGAGAGAGAGAGAGACAGAGGGAGGGGGAGGATTTTAGAGGAGGAACTTTAGTAATATAATTTCAAAATTATTCTGATTTATTCAAAGGCCAGAAGCTGCGGAATCGATGTTTTCTAAAGCTGTCCAGAATCCGAGCCGACATAAAAGGGAAAGTTTCTAATTCGGTGGCTGAGTTAGCCAAAAGCTGAGGTTAACAAAACACTTCTCCAGCGGCCAAAGTCCATACGCAAATAGAGTCCGCCTCTGAAAAAACTCATTCTGGCCCTTAATAGGTATTTACTTTCGTGGGGGGGGGGGTCAATGTTTGTTCGCCCTTTCCTCTCCTCCCCCCCCCCTCAACTGACACTCCCCACGCGACACCCCTCGGTCCGGCCAACTTGTCCGCGACACCTCCTCTAACCCGAACCACAGTTTGACCAATCCATTATTAATTAAAATATTCTTCCGTAACTTTATAAGCATTCAAATTTTTTTCGTTTAGTGAAAATTAAATAAATACAAATTTAGACAATGATATAATGCTCCAATATGAAATATATATTAAGAGAAAGTATTGCGATCGAGAAAATTTTCGTATCCCAGTTTTTTAGAGAAATATAAGATTTGAAGTCCTTGAGTCCAAATAATCAAGTCTCTCAAAGATATTTCGGGGCGGAGTGGCCGAATGGGCTAAAGCGTGTGCAGTGCACCGCGAGTTGCCTGGCAACCGGATAAGAGATTTGAGAAGATTAAAAAAGAATGAGTTCGCATCCCCGTGCCGGAGGGGGTTTTAAATTCCCCGCCCTCACCCTCCTAGCCTAAAAGGCGAGGTAGGGAAGAACAAAAAAAAAAAAATTAATTAAATAAAATAAAAAAATTGCTCAAAGATATCTTATTTCAGACATATATAGTCTCCTTCCCACAGAACTAAAACCTTCGAAGTTCACGTCTTGTCGCTGCATTGCTTTCTGGAATTCTTTACCATCTCACCATATACCATGATCCTTCCTTTTCTTCATTGAAATCTCTCATTTTTCATTTCTTTCTCACGTCCCAAAAAGACGGCCTCCAATCTTGAGATATCAATTTAAGAATAAATTGTTGATTTGAAGTGAATAGTAGATAGTTTTAATAATTGGGGATCGATCATTAAAAGAAATAAAAAATAAAAAATTTTATTTATATTTATTTTTATTTTACAGAAGCGAACTCGTACTTATTTTATAACTTCGGTTATAAAAATATTATGTATAAAAATAAATATAATTATTTATTTTTACTATTTGTTTTTTTACTGATCACCCCAACCATTCTTCTCTTCGATAGTTTTAACAGTTAAGTATTAATTTTAGAGCCCTCATACTAGACTTAAAAGACAAAAACTGCCAACATATTCCGACTACTACAACACTTACTTGACAAACGCTCTAAACTCTCAATATTTTACAAAAAACTCATTTACACTACCATCATCAGGCCCATTTGGACATACGATATAGAGCTTTGGGGCTCTACTACTACAAAAACATCAAATTCTTCCCGTATCCAATCCAAAATCCTGCGCAAAATCCTAAATGCTCCTTATTATGTAACAAATAAAATTAACCATACAGACCTCAACATTCCACTTGTGGAAGACTTGGAAGACTTTATACCTCATTTCGTTCCAAACTCTTTGGTCACCAGAATCCTCTAGTTTGTAACCTTTCATCCAACACAATTCCTGACAACCCTCCGAGGCGTCTGAAAAGAAGATGGCCAAGGGAGCTCCTAAATTATTTATCTTTGAAGTGTTACCAATGGGTAACTTCTTCACAAGTACCTTCATGTAATATATCCCTGTAGCAAATTTACTGGTTGCATATATGTTTACAGTTGTAAATTTCAATTAAATAATAATAAAAAAAAAAGGTTAGAACCAATTTATAGTTTTAATTTTTTATTTATTTCTCCTTCTTTTCATTATATTTTTTTTTTTCTCAAGACAATGATTTCTATTCTCAAGTTTTTTTTTGTTGTGTATATATTTTTAATTTTTAGAATTTATGTATTTTTTACACTTTATTAATGTTTTTGATAAGTAATATTCTCTTTTAATTCTACATAGCTATTATTGTTAAGGGACCTAGTCCCAGAATAATTTTTTTTTATTTTAATATTTATGGCTAACGTTTTTGAACAGATTATTGTTAGAAAATCCTAATTCAAAGCCGTTAATATCTCAAATGGCATTAATAATTATTTTTTTATTCTCCTCTTCCAAGCCAATTGGCTAAATGGGGTTTTCCTGGACCAGGGGTGAAGGCGAGGGATTACTGCCAGAGTTCCTTCCCCGGTACTTATTTTATCTCCTATAACTTCAGATTGTCGGGCAACGCTATGTGCTGTGCACACGCTTTAGCCCGCTCGGCTACCCCGCCCTCATATCATTTATAAATGAACGGATGAGTTTACTAAGATTCAGGCATTATCAGAACTGAGAACTACATAGTCACATTAATGCAGAATAAACGCAGCCCTTCCGACTTCATTAAAAGCTATTTTTAAACTGTAATATTAAACCGAATTAGATTGTTTTAACTGATAATTTTAATAAAGAACCTCGTTTAAAGTGTCTCACATACGTTTCACTTTTGAGCATAAATAATACTTTATCGAGAAGAAAACAAAAGGGATTCAGCTATTTAAATAAAGGATTAGCCTTCATAGCAGGCCTCGTCCAAAATCCCAGCTTCACTTGTTGCATCCCTTTTTCTCATTCAGTGTCTCCGACACCTTCAACAAGTCCCTCAAATCAACCCCATTCAGCTAAGTTGACTGCGGTGGATCCGAAATTCCAATAGAATTTTTTTCGTACTTTTTTTTCTCATTTTGAGCTCTAACTGAGTTCTAAGTTACTCTTAGAAAGTAACTTAGGATTTGTCTTTTTTTTACTACGACTGTTTAATTACTCAGTATTTTTATTTATGTGTCTCTAAGGCTCCTTAGCCCATATTTATGTCTTTTCGTATTATTCTAAAGGGACTCGTCCCAGAATAAATAAAGTATTATTATTATTACGTGGTTTCCAGCGCACATTGGAGAAATAATAAAAAAAAAAAACCTCAAAAGTAATTTTTTTTTTAATTTAGCGGCTTTGGTTTATTGTAGTTAATAAGATGAAGAACAAAAACATTAAACGATTTAGGAGGGGGAATTTTAATAGGCAATAAATATAAATAGTTAAGTATTTTTGGCGCCCGCTGAAGCTCTCACCAAAAAAAGTTTCTGTTTGAACAGTCTAGCTCAAAAACGAAAAGTTCTAAAAAACTGAAATTATGTTTTTTCGACAAAATTGACTTACTGTTAGTGGCACTTTTAACCATCGATTTGATAAATGTTTACAATTCGAAAATGGATTTAATGATTTAAACTTAATTCGATAGATTAGTGTAAAATCAAGTGAAGTTTAATATTAATCAGTATCTTCATTGAAACAGTCTAATAGTGATTAAATGCCGTTTCTCCTAAATATCTTTAATTTATTATATTTAAAATAATTAAACTCTTAACATTGCATCTGGTAATAAAATGTAGATAGATATAAACGAATTTTAATTCATATTAATATTAATTAATATGATGTTCATTATCATTATTCATAGGAGTACAAATTTAATGCTCCTTCCTAATTGTATATATCTATTAATTCTTATTTTATATCTTTATTCTGGAAAAAAGCAATATTTTGCTCATCTTCTGTCATTAATATATGTATATATTTTGTATGCTTTAGCTGAGTGGGTTTTAACATAAGTCAATTTCTTTTTTATTTATGTAGTTTTGATATTTTTTCTTTTCTGGAGGTTTAGCTTTTTCTTTCTATAGATGTAATTCTTCTTTTTTTTTTTTTTTTTCCTTTTGTCATTTTTTCCAGTAAAATTATAAGTATAGTTGAGAAGATTTTATTTTATTTTTTTTAGTAATTCACATACTATTATTATCATAAGTTGCTATGTATATATTGTTTGAATCTTTATTAAGTTAGTTTTTGGCCAGATATGTATTTTTTCTTTTGTAACTGTTCATTATTGTTATTCTAAGGGGACATCGTCCCAGAATAAAGTTTATTTTCTATTTATATATATATATATATATATATATATATATATATATATATATATATATTTATTCCATGTGTCAAAAATAAAAATCGCATCTCTATGCATATATATATATATTATTGGCATATAGAACAAATCCATTATTTCTGAGATATTGGTCACAGAAAAAAGGATTTAATTTTTGTTTTTTTTTATTTTTAGTGACCTTTTGCCCCTACCGCAGCTAACGCCAGAAGGTTACAAATGCTTCATGTACAAAGTGGCTGATCCAAATCCGGAGAAATTCTGCTTCAACGATTACGTGAAAAACTTCTTCCTCGTCGGAGATACCCGCGTCAAGACTGAAACCAATATACCAAAAGGAGAGATCGTAATATTCGACATGAAGGGATATTCCCTTCGACATCTCACCAAGATTCCGCTCGTATCCGTGAGGAAATACATGCAGTACACCCAAGTAAGAATTTTCAATACTACACTAAAAAATATTTATCCAAAACTTAGTAATGCAATAATTTGTTGTAAATTATTTATTTACAAAATAAATCAATAAAAACTCACCAAGACACATAAATTGATTGTTGAGTCATAATTGAAAAAATTCCAACTGAACTGTCTTATTTCTCCAAAATGCAGCTAAAGGATAAAAAAAAAAAAAAACAGTCGACGTTTCTTCCAATTCAAGCATCATCAGGAAAGAAAAGAAAACAACCCAAGAAACACATTACTCTATGGCATCCAATGCCATACTGAAAAAAAGGTAAGGTACGTAATTCAAGGTAATTCACAGCTGAAGAAGGTTATAATCAAACAGCTGATCAGGAAAAAAAACATGTAATATATAGCCAAAATTCATAAATATGTCAAAACAAATTCAAACATTAAGAAAAAAAAAAGCAATTATGATAATGAAAAAAAAAAAAACATTACAGGAAGGTGATCATCAAAAACAGCTAATCACCCATGTGAAGTTGAAAAAACAAAAATTAATTTTTGCATATTTGGAGATATATATGTATTTTTATTGGTGATAACATTAATTTTTTTATGCGTTTTTTTTTTGCCGATCAGTTGTTTAATTATAACCTTTTTCAAGTATGTTACCTCACCTTACTTCCAGTACGCGATCGAATGTCATGGAATGATGGGATCTTCGGTTTCTTCTGTCTTCAAGATGCCTGAATTGGCGAAACGTTGACTAAATTGGCGAAACGTTGACGAGTTTTACTATTCTTTACCTATATTTTGGAGACTTTACCCTCCAGCATAAACCTATGACTTCTTGTCCTACAGTATCCTTCAACAATACTCCACTTATTCCTGTTGAGCAAATCCGCTACTTAGGACTCCACTTGGATGAACGTCTTACTTGGAATCCTCATACTAGACTGCAACGACAAGAAACTGCTCGACGTTTCCGACTGCTCCAACACTTACTAGACAAACGCTCTAAACTTTTAATTAATTATAAAAGACTTATCTACATAACTATAATAAGACCTATATGGACATACGATGTTTAGCTTTGGGGCTCCACCAAACCATAGAATTCCTATCTTATATAATCTCTGCGATCCAAAATCCTTAATGCTCCATACTTTGTCACAAATAAAACCATTCATAAAGACCTTAATGTACCATATGTCGCTGTTCTAGCCCGACCAAGATATCTACCCTTTCATGACAAACTCTAGCCCCATCTAAATCTCCTTCTTTCCAGCCTTGCTTCTTACTCAATTCCTGATAATCCTCCTAGGCGTCTGAAAAGGAGATGGCCTCGTGATTTTCTTACTTAGAGTTATTTAGGGAGTGCTACCACTGGGTAGTATCTCTTCAAGCCTGTTCATTTCATTATTTATAATTTGAGCATATTTACTAGTTGTATTTGTATACAGTTATAAATTTCATTAAAAAAACAAAAAAAAATATTTTGGAGACAAAAGGCTGTGTAGGTGGAAATTTTCCGATTATAACTCAATATTATTCATTTAGATCATTTTAAAAAATTATAAATTTTAGGAAGCGCACCCAGTTCGGCTAAGGCAGATCCACGTCATAAACGTCTCGCCGCTCCTCGACAAGACATTGATGCTGGTCAAACCGTTTATGAAAAGTGAAGTCGCAGCAATGGTAACTAAGAATAAAAAACTTTATTTATTTTTATTACTATTATCATAGTCTCAATCGAATATTTTTATGGCAATATGAGTTCGAATTTTAACGCTTTATTTTAATGTATACAGGTAAAGTATACATGTTTTAATGTATCAATTTTACCGGTTTTGGTGGAGGGGCAATATCGCATGGATCAGAATCTAAGATAACAAGAAAAGACTCTAACTGATTACGACCAAATAGGGGATGGGAGGATAATACAGAATAGTAGGATAAAATGGAATAGATATCGTAGAACTTATGCCGCCTTAACGGGCCTTCTCTATCTATGGCTCTCTTCGGCTTTCTTGTTATCTACCTCCACCTCTGCAGCACCTTCGTTAATTCAAGATGTCCGTCTGGTTTCTTGGCCTTCGACGTGATCTCTATTTACTATCGAGACATTTATTTTTTTTTTAAGGTTTCCTGATGCATTTACTGAGCAACACTTCCCACCCGTCCATCCGTCTTAACCTCCTTTCCTTCTCATCACGTGATATTGTTTCACCAGTTTCTTTAAGCAGTTCTTTATTGGTCGTTTTCCTCTATGCGTTAGTGCTCTGATCTCAGATATCGTGCAAGATTTTCCTCTCAAAAATTTCAATACTTCTTTCTAAGGCGCTGATTAGCGGCCAAGCCGTATTTCAAAATTGGCTTCGTAGCATTGTACACACTTTATTTGAGATTTTTCAGGATGTTAATACCTTTAAAAGATAAATATAAGCTCTTTTTGCACTTGTTATACGCTGGTCTATTTCTGATCGTTGGTCATTCATTAAAGTCATTATGGATCCTAGTTATTTGAATTTGTCTACTATCGCGAACGGTTTCCTTCTACGCATATCCTGCTTATGGAGTGGAATTTTCGAATTCTTATACATATATACATATATATATATATATATATATATATATAGGCTTGGTCAAGAGATGAAAAACTTGTTATGTTTCGGTTGCGAAACTACTTAGTTCGTGGTTTCTGCCCTAAATGTTGAAATTTAGGATTTGCAAAACTGTCAAAGTTCATAAGTTTCTTGTTAAACGCAAAAAATGGCCGTTCAGAGTAAATAAGAAACACCTGAAGAATTTTTAAAATGAAGTATTGCGCAAAATATCTGGATCAAGGATGGACAAATCAACCGGCTATACAACACTGAATATCGTGAACTGTAAACTCCTTAAATATAATTTAATTCAGGTCATAATTTTGCGTCCAATAAAATTGTTAGGCTTAATAGAGAACGAATTCCTAAATGGGTTAAAAAGTGGTTAACTGGAGTGAGATTGGTAAGATTTCGTTTAGAAAGCGATTTAATAGGTGGAGTTGGTATTGAACCTTAGGATTCGTTGAGCCTTTTATTATTACATAATCTCGAGGTTCCAGTAATGATAGCTTCATAAGATATTGATGAACACCATGTACTAGATCTCGAGCGAGGTACAAGGATTGAAAGAAATCCAACTCTATTCATCAACTAATCTGTAATTTGGATGCAACCAATGAGTTTTATTCACTAATAAACTTTACTTACAAAATTCCACTTGTTTCAGCTACATTTCCACCAACCTGGAGCGACAACACTTTACGACTACGTTCCTCAAGAGATTCTTCCCAGTGAATATGGCGGCAAGGCTGGAGCAGTTGCTGACATAAAAGGTGATATTTTATTTTTACGAATAAAAAGATACGCTCTTAAGAACTACCTTACTCATTCAGTTAATGCCTAGATAATTGGTTAATACAGCATGGAGAATTGGTTAATGGCTTGATTTATTATTACTCAGTTTTTATTCTGAAGAATAGATAATAAGAATAAAAGCGAAAAAGTTCCGGATTTTTTAGATGCATATTTGCAAAGCTAATATGCACTAAAGAAAAGTAGTTGGGATGGGGCTACGTCATGAGATGTCAGAGCTTAGCTCATACCGTTGATTACCTTATACTTTTTAACTTAAAATATTGAATAGTGTTCCCATCTTCAAAACTTCAATCCAATAAATATTTTTTCGTTTTTTCCCTCGCCACGTTGTGTTTGAATAAAAATATTTGGTTTAAAATATATTTATACTAGTTGGCCCGTGCAAATAATTCGCAGGCAATTTTCTTTAGTGAAGGAATAGCTATATGAAATAAGTAGATCCTATGTATTATATAAGGAAGGAATAAATTGTTTTCCTGGACCGATTACAATATTCCATTTTACATAATAGACCAAAATATTTGTACAAATTGCTTTGCTAGAGCTTATTTCTAAACGCTGACTCAAAAGGTAACAATCAAAATAAAGCCTCAATCACGGGATTTTCTAAAGTATTAAAAAATATAAAATGTACAAACACAAAAATGCCTTTAAGAAATAATAAATTATATATCATCCGGGTAAAAAAAGGTAGTAGAGTAGTTAAAGCAGTGTCTTCAAAGAGGAAGAAATTCTTAAGTATACCAAAAATAATGGACTGTATATTTGTTAATGATAGTCCAATTTTTACAATTTTTTGCTTGTTTTGCGTCATTGACATTGGGGGTAATGGGTACCCTTGTTCATATATATGTTTTTTATCAAATGAATTTTATTGCAGTATGTTTTTCTTAAAGTACTCAATCGGACGGTGCACAAGTATTAATAATACTGTCTATGCTATAATTAGGAGTGTTATATAATTCATACAATTGTTACGTGATAAAGATCTTGTGATCCTGGTCGGACGTTAAGTAAATAGTCCGTGGTACATACTTATTATCAAATTATTAACATCCGCCTGAAACTTCGTGAATAGCTTCATATCATCGTAACCTACATCTATTATATTTTTTTTTTTTTTTTTATTGGATAATAATACAATCAGCCACTGCTGGAGGGCTATAAGTATTAGGGCTAAGAGTTCTCATTCATAAAATATATACACATAATAGAGAAATAAATATAAATATAAAAAGTAAATAAATAGTACCGATGAATAAAGTAAAATAAAAGAAAAAAAAGTAAACAAATAACATAAAATAGAAACTTCTAAACACAATCATATCTATATACAATATATACATTTGCCCAGGAATCTCCGAGCCAGGCTTTTCCCCCACATGTGGAAGGGAAAGCAAGACTCCAGGAGATCCCAGTGCCACTTTTCCAGCCGCATCACTAGTATTAGAAGCCAGTGGAGACTGAAAGAGGGCACTAGAGCCACAGACGCTCAGGACATGAGTGAAGATGCTGGCCATTGCCAGGACTCCAGAAGCATATTTACAAGAGATCTCTGGGCCACTGCCGTTTTAACCTTCGTGGAGGATTGTAGGGATGAAGGGAGCTGGATAGGGATTGAGCTAGAGGATTTGGATGATGGATAAGGTTCTGGTGAAAATTTGAGAATCTGGATGGGATGATGTCGAGGACAAATGGGATGTTGAGATCATGGTGTAGGGTCTTGTTTGTGACATAATATGGGGCATTAACTATTGTTCTGAGTACTTTGGACTGGAAGGATTGGATGCGTTTGATATTCGAATATTTAGCAGTTCCCCACAGTTCAAGTCCGTAGGTCCAGATAGGTTTCAGTATGGTCTTGTAGATTAAAAGTTTATTTTCAATCGAAAGATGGGATGTCCTACTTAGTAATTTATACAGCTGGCCATACCGTCGGTTAAGTTCTTGTCTTTTAAGTCTGGTATGTGGGTTCCAAGTTAGTCTTTTGTCAAGAAGGAAGCCAAGGTAACGGACTGTGTCTGAGTAGGGAAGTGGATTTGAATTAAATAGGATTGGCGGACAGGATCTGCGTCGCAGGGTAAAAGCGATATGTTTGCATTTTGATTCATTGATTTTGATGCGCCAGTTGTTGCACCACTGCTCAATCAAGTAGATCTATTATATTTACGAAAACACTTGGAATTGGGACGTTTTCATTCTGGAGATGGGCAAACCTTGTCTATTTAATGAGGTACTAAAAACTAGTAACTGGAACTTTGCTTTCTACTTTAATCGTAGGATAATGTAACCACAAAATAGAGAAAAAAAGTTGCCTTAAAAAATATTCAGCCATTTGGCGTGACCTACACCCCCAAATTGTCAAAATAACGAGGTTATATAGATCAAACCTCTCAATATTTTAGAAAGCCATATTTTTTTCTCGACTTTATCAAATTATCTTACGATTAAAGTAAAAAGCAAAGTTCCAGTTACGAGTCTTTAGTACCTAATTAAATAGACAAAGTTTACCGACCTCCAAATTGAAAACGCCTCAATTTCGAGAATTTTCGTAAATAAAATGTTTGTACGTTACGATGAGATGAAGCTATTTACGAAGATTCAGCCGGATGTTAATAAGTTGATAAAAAGGTGTTTGTACCACGTACTATTTGTGTTGATTCCGTGGTGCATACACTGTGTTAGTTCAGTCTGCAAAAACGTGCTTTGTGGCATGTACAATGCTACTACCTTGTGGCACAAGAGAAAGTTTCATGAAAACAAGAAATTTGAAAATAAAAAAAAACCAATGGAAATAAATAAAACCTAACTGCGCAAAGAGTGTAGTGAACTAGGGTTCTCAAACTGCCACAAGGTAATAGCGCTGTGCATGCCTACACAAAGTACGTGACTAACAAAAATATTGGGTCGTTTGGCCTAAATAACCTCGTTATTTTGACATTTTGGGGGTGTAGGTCACGCCAAACGGCTCAATATTTTTGAAGGCCACATTTTTTCTCGACTTTGTGTTCAAATCATTTTACGATTGAAGTGGAGAAAGCAAATGGGTACTTACGGAGTTTTAGTACCTAACTAAATAAACAAAGTCTGCCGATCTCCAGATTAAAAACGTCGCAATTCCGAGAATTTTTGCAAATACGATATTTGTAGGTTACGATGGGATAAAGCTATTTACAAAGTTTCAGGTGGATTTTAATGATTTGATAAACAGGGGAATTGTGTACCAAAAACTAAAAACATGATTTTTAGAATAAATGTATGCGTTTCTTAACGTTTCGTGGAAAAATATTTACAGGGAAAGTCGAGATACCATGATTCCGACAAAAAACAAGTATTATTTCCAAGAACATATTGAAATGGATTCTTTACTCTGTTTGGATGCTAGACCAGCAAACCATAAATAAAAAAAAAAAAAAAAGAACAAATTTGACATTGCCTTATTAAAGCTCTAATAAACCCTGGCAACAAGTATCGATCTAACAAGAAGCCTATGATTTAAAAAATATAAATTGAAGTACAAAATATGATTTTGTCTAGACTCTTAATGCCAAAAAAAAAATTAATTGAAGTAGTGACTCTCCTTCTATATTTAAATGCTCAAAGAGCTTCTTTTTTTTTTAAGCCAACTCGAATCACAACAAACATTCAACGTAACAAAACAGATATAGTTTATCTACAATGCTTATATGTACAAATTATAATCAATATCACTATTTATTTTTTTTATTGCTTAATAAGATTTCTAATTATTCTTCTCAGGTTGAAAATAAATATTTTTCTTCATCTAGACTGTTGTAGCACGGCTTTTACCTGAAAATAACATTTATAAAAATCATTACTGAGAATCAAATCAGATTGTAGTTCTGAATATGGGATTAAATATCCCGAAACGTTAACATGTAATTTGGAAATACAACAAATAAAACAATTATAGTTTAATAGGAAGTCATTATTGCCAAAAACAAAGAATAATATACAACTTCCCAAAAAAAAGAAGAAAATTCAAGGAATGCATACCGTACACCAACAATTTTAAACAAGTATTATTTTTTTTAATTGAAAATTACAACTGTATTAAATGATGAATATAACAAGTAAATATGAAACAAGTAACATGACATGTACAACATGAAGAGAAACTACCCATTGTTAGCACTCCATTTATATTTCTAGAAGGTCCCGAGGCCATCTTCTTTTCAGACGCCTCGGAGAGCTAAGTATTTGACTTACAGAAAATTTTAAGCTATGTTTAAAGATTTATTTTTGCGGTGAAGTTCATTTTCGATACCAAGAATTTCATTTCTAGCTTGGAAGATTCGAAAATAAATCTGAAGCATGTCATATACCAATACATAATTTATTAATTAATGTTTCGCCAAAATGCAAGTCCCATTAGAACTGAGCAAATAAGATTTCGGTTCTCTTTCAGATTAGCTCCGTCAATTATTTGTATACAGAAAAAGTAACTGTTATAGAAAAGTATCAGTTATATTTGAATCAATGTTATTTTTCGACTGCATAAAGTAATTTAGTAAGCAACATCCTTTGGGTTATACTCCAGTTTGAACGAGGAGAGGCAGGGATGCCCATCTCTCCTCCCCCCTCCAAGACTGATGGCGTATAAACCTTTTCCCACCCCTTCCAAGATATTTTATTCCTCTCTTCTTCTTGAACACAGTGTAAACGAAAGTATAATTTAAATATTCGTAGATTGTATACAATATCACATCCTGCGGTTTGTCCCATGTTTTCACTTGTCTGTTAATTGGAAACTTTTCATTTTGAAAATTCATAACCCCATCGAAATTTGCCCCCCTCAAAAATCGAAAATCCCGTCAAAAAGTGCCCCCTAATAAATTTTGATGGCACAAGTTGAGCCATGAACACCCCTTCTGGGTACCTTTGAGTAGAGGGAGTTTTACCAGAAAGGTGAAATTATCCATAAGGAGCGCTTCAGTAATAAAGGACACCTAATGAAGCTCATAGAAAGAAATGGTGCTTATGATATTTCTGATTTGTGGATATCAT